TGCATGGATGATGCATCTAGGGATGGACACTACCACACTTGCTTCGGATGCTGAATCTAATCTAGATTTTCCAGATGAGTGACCAGGTTAAAGTTTTTGGAGCAGGTCCATTCCCAAGTAACTATAAGCCCTACCTGGACCAAACTTGCATGGATGATGCATCTAGGGATGGACACTACCACACTTGCTTCGGATGCTGGATCTGACCTAGATTTTCCAGATGAGTGACCAGGTTAAAGTTTTTGGAGCAGATCCATTCCCAAGTAACTATAAGCCCTACCTGGACCAAACTTGCATGGATGATGCATCTAGGGATGGACACTACCACACTTGCTTCGGATGCTGGATCTGACCTAGATTTTCCAGATGAGTGACCAGGTTAAAGTTTTTGGAGCAGGTCCATTCCCAAGTAACTATACGCCCTACCTGGACCAAACTTGCATGGATGATGCATCTAGGGATGAACACTACACACTTGCTTCGGATGCTGAATCTGACCTAGATTTTCCAGATGAGTGACCAGGTTAAAGTTTTTGGAGCAGATCCTTTCCCAAGTAACTATAAGCCCTACCTGGACCAAACTTGCATGGATGATGCATCTAGGGATGGACACTACCACACTTGCTTCGGATGCTGAATCTAATCTAGATTTTCCAGATGAGTGACCAGGTTAAAGTTTTTGGAGCAGGTCCATTCCCAAGTAACTATAGGCCCTACCTGAACCAAATTTGCATGGATGATGCATCTAGGGATGGACACTACCACACTTGCTTTGGATGCTGAATCTGACCTAGATTTTCCAGATGAGTGACCAGGTTAAAGTTTTTGGAGCAGATCCATTCCCAAGTAACTATACGCCCTACCTGAACCAAACTTGCATGGATGATGCATATAGGGATGGACACTACCACACTTGCTTCGGATGCTGGATCTGACCTAGATTTTTCCAGATGAGTGACCAGGTTAAAGTTTTTGGAGCAGGTCCATTCCCAAGTAACTATAAGCCCTACCTGGACCAAACTTGCATGGATGATGCATCTAGGGATGGACACTACCACACTTGCTTCGGATGCTGAATCTAACCTAGATTTTCCAGATGAGTGACCAGGTTAAAGTTTTTTGAGCAGGTCTATTTCCAAGTAATTATAAGTCCTTCTTAAACCAAACTTGTATAGATATTGATCTTGGGATGTACACTAACTAGAAAAAATATGATGTGAGATTTGCCTTACTTATAGATAACCTTCGTCGAGGTGAGCTTCGTAATTTTTGATTACCTATGTTTATTATGTGGTTTTGTCCTGACCTTTTCTCAAAGACTATTTCATAGAATTGTATGAAAATTTGTACACTCATTATTTGCCATATGAAGATGTGCACCTGGTATTTTCAATATTATTTGATAACTTTTCTGCATTTTACAGGGTTTTTTTTATTTCATTGTTATTGACTTAGTCATTTTGGGTTTATTTCTAAGGTTTGAGACACAGAATCTAAAACATCTGTACAAAAATGTGAACTACAGCTTAAAACTATTCATTAAAACCAAAAAAAAATCACCAAGTATTAAAAACAATTTTTAGCTCACCTCAACGAAGTTGGGTGAGCTTATGTAATACCCTCGGCGTCGGTGTCGGCGTCCCAGGTTAAGGTTTTTGGAGCAGTTTTCTTTTCAAGTACTTCTATGGCCTATATTAGTCAGAGATGCATGGAGGATACTTCTAGTGTGTTTCATTGTACCAGTCAAGGTTTCAGATGCTGCAATTTCAGCTAAAGAATGACCAGGTTAATGTTTTTGGAGCAGGTTAAAGTTTTTGGAGCAGGTCTCATTTCCAAGTAACTATAAGCCCTATATTGACCAAACTTGCATGGATGATACATCTAAGGATGCACACTACTTAACTTGCTTCGGATGCTGGATCTGACCTATATTTTCCAGATGAGTGACCAGGTTAAGGTTTTTGGAGCAGATCTCATTTCCAAGTAACTAAAAGCCCTTTATTGACCAAACTTGCATGGATGAAACATTTAAGGATGCACACTACTGGACTTGCTTCGGATGCTGAATCTGACCTATATTTTCCGGATGAGTGACCAGGTTAGAGTTTTTGGAGCAGATGTCATTTCCAAGTATCTGTTAACCCTATATTGACCAAACTTGCATGGATGATACATATAAGGATGTACACTACTGGACTTGCTTCGGATGCTGGATCTGACCTATATTTTCTGGATAAGTAACCAGGTTAAAGTTTTTGGAGCAGATCTCATTTCCAAGTAACTATAATCCCTATATTGACTAAACTTGCATGGATGATACATCTAAGGATGCACACTACTGGACTTGCTTCAGATGCTGGATCTGACCTATATTTTCTGGATAAGTGACCATGTTAAAGTTTTTGGAGCAGATGTCATTTCCAAGTAACTATAAACCCTATATTGACCAAACTTGCATGGATGATACATCTAAGGATTCACACTACTGGACTTGCTTCGGATGCTGGATCTGACCTACATTTTCCTGATGAGTAACCAGATTAAAGTTTTTGGAGCAGATCTCATTTCCAAGTAACTATAAGGCCTATCTGAACCAAACTTGCATGGATGATGCATCAAGGGACGAACAATCTCAAAACTTCGGATGCTGGATTTGACTTACATTTTCTGGATGAGTGACTAGTTTTAAGTTTTCAGATAAGTCTATTCCCAAGTAACTGCAAGCCCTATCAGACCAAAATTGCATAAATGTTGCATCTAGGGATGCACACTCCTAGATTATTAGTTTAGTGTGGGACTTTGCCTTACTTAAAGACAACATTCGTTGAGGTGAGCTCTGTAATCTCTGATTACCTATGTTTACATTACACAGCAGATAGTGTAAATCCATTTGTCCCTTGGGAGTAATGAGTGGACATCATCCTGTTATAGATAAATTAATGAGTTCAGTGTGGGAAGTTGTTAGGGCATCTCTGATCAAGCATGTGTTATCTATATCTCCTGGGAATTTAAAGATCTCTGTTCTTTAATTCTCTTGTAATTTATTGTCCGTCATAGAACATAGTTACTGGATGACCAGCCTTTCATTTTTAAAATGAATTTGATATAAAGTTATCAAGATTAATTTGATTTTGTAATTAATTGATTATTTTTCAACAATCAATTTGCAGAATGTCATGTCTCAAAAAGATGACAGATAGTTGCATTTTATTTTTTCAATGTATTAAAAAACAATGTAGTTACAATGTATTGGTATTGATGTTTTATTAGGTTGTTCCTTGGTTTCATTCACTAAAAAAAATATAATGAGCAATTATTTTTTCACTCTAAATATTAATAAGAAAATTGTGAACACCTCTTAGATCCATAAAATATTAGTGATTTGGCACCTCTGAAAAACCCAGCGGGGGGTATTTGTCCCTTTTTGACAGTTCTAGTTCACAAAGTTCTGAAAGCTACTTGACCCCACGGGGATATGAGTTTTAAGACAGTTGTAGTTTATATTTCAGTATCTTTGTTCAAGGAAATAAAGAATAACTTAATGAATCAATGTATGGATCCTGCACAAACTTTCACATGAAATTTCAATGTTATTAAATTATCTGCAATTCGTACATTTATATGGAATTAAAAATATCCCAGATTATTTTTTTTACGTACCTGTACTGGTGTCTTGTAGTTAACCTTCCGCATAGCAAACCTTCTCCATGTGCAAGACATTTGTATTGTAGAGTAATTGCTATATAGTCAAATCTTCCTTCCAGATACTTTACTGTATTGTAAATCTCCTCCCAGGGAATGTTTACTATATGGCGAACATTCCATTGCATAGAAACCCCGCCCCCTTCGTGGTAAGGTTTATTGTGCGGAAGTAATGTTTGTAACTTCTGAAGTCATCAGATATGTATCAAGGTGATTACATCATAGAAGTCTCATATTATTGTATATATCTGGTTTCATGGGGAATGGAAATCTAGAAGCTTCCTGCCCTCAATTTCCACACCTCATGAAATGGTTACCGTATATCCAATACTACCTGACATCCATGATGTAATACACACTTGTACATAAGATATGCACCCTGAGATGCACGTTGTTCATATAGCATGACAAATATTTCCTACGATATAAGGATTCTAATGCCCTGTTCACTTGGAGAGTTTAATTCGAATTAAATGTTAATTACTGCGAATTAAATTTGAACCGCATTCACACAAAGAATTTAATGCGAATTAGTTTTTAATTTACTGGGCATTAAATTACTTCGCATTAGCTCTGTGTGAATGCTAAGCGAAGCTAATTCGAGTTAAATTTTGACGCATGCATAAGGGCAGAATTAAGTCACAGGCCACATGTCGATGGTCAGATATAGGTACTTGTGCTATTTTTGAGTGGAAAACAAGGGAAAATTATGTATATAATCACTGAAATGTGTACAGACACTATGACATTATATCAAATCAGTGGTCAAATGTATCTGCAGAATGTGACGTGATTCGCAAAATGACGTCATAATAGCCTTACTGAATAGCCTTCATGTAGAAATAAAAATTTAATTCGCATTAGTTTACTTCACATTAGCTGTCGTGTGAACGCAATTTAATTCGCATTAGTTTAATTCGCATTAGTTTACTTTGAATTAATTTACTGCGAATTAAACTCTCCGTGTGAACAGGGCATAACTTCTGAAGAGGACTATGATGATTTCTGTTATAAAGCAGATCTAGAAATGTTTTTACTTCTGATAACTTGCTAATCCACATTTCTTTATTAATTTGTATATACTCAGTAAAAAAAAATAATAAAAGGAGAAAAAAACATTGATTATTAGGTAATACAAATTCAAAATTTATGAGATTCATAATACACATGTATTCTCAAAAAGGAGCAATCTGGTCCATGGGCCTATTGTTAGAAATCATGTTGGTGTGGTTTTTACCTGTTATCAATAGATTGTCTGCTTTTTTGTAAGTTTGCATGTGATGTTTCCTTTGTTTCAGAGCTTTGGTGAATATTCCATGGGTATCATGGCATGGCTAATGCCAGTTCTTATTGCTATATCTGTATGTGGTACAATGAATGGATGTGCTCTCAGTATGTCAAGGTAGAGTACTGGTTTCCTTGAGTGGTCAGATTCAGTGTTTCACTAACATCCTTCCTTCTAATAGACGAATTTCACATTCTTATGTGTTATCTCTCGTTGTCGGCATAACACTCATTTTTGTCACTGTATCCTTTGTAACTTACCTGTAAATATTTTCAACCTTCAAATAGAATTGGACAATATTGACCCGTTCCTGAATTGCCTTAGTATGGGACAACATAAAAAACAAAATGAACATATTCAAATGAATTTAATTTGCAAGATATTGTCCCTAAAAGTTGGTAATGTTATAGAGGGAAAATAGTGTCTTACACTGGTTGACCCCAGACTGACCCCACAAAGGGAAATAACTTTCATAAATGTGAAATTCGTCTATTGCTAATCTTATTTATGTTTAGTGCCACTGTAGACTTTACCTTGTCTTTTTATCTGCATATATAAATCTGAGCATGCATGCACACTACATGTAACAGTTACAATCTGTATTTGACTTGGTCAACATTTTGGGTAATAATCTTTTCTCAGTTTGTAATTAAAAGGTGTATGTAACATGGTTTAAAATTGAATGACTGTAAGTTAGAGTTCTGGGGATTTATCCAGGCTCACTATGAACATGTTCTCTGCAATGTGTCATGAAAACAAATTTCATGGATATTCCTGCTACATTAATGTACAAATTAAAAAATTAATGAAATATTAATTTTTTTTTTTTTTTACATCTATTTGTAATGAATAAATGGAAGTAAATAATGATAAATGTAGCTTATTAGAAAAAGGTTAACATTTCCAGTTTTTTGAGTCAATGAAGCAGCAGATTATTATGATGTAGATACATTTATCTATGACTTTTTTTGTCTCAAGCAGATTTCCAAATTAAAACCAAATGATATGAAATGAAAGCAATCCACAAATATTAGCAGCCATATATTTATTTCTTCTTAATTATGCAGTAAGATTATTTTTTAGGAGTAAATTTACAGCATTGCAGGAGGGCACATTCTTAACCCAAACACCACTGTACTATTAACTTAAAATTAATTAACTCAATTTCCTTTTCTGTTAATTGTATTTAGCTCACCTGTAGTCCTTTTCACAAAGAAATGTTAAGATTTTGATCAAGATTTTAACTTACAGTACCAACCAGACCCAGCCTGACACCCAAGCAGTTTGCTTTTTGGGACTGCTTTCTGGGACCGCTGGGACTGCTGTAGAACTGCTCTGGGACCACTGTGGGACTGCTTTAGCAGTCCCAGAGCAGTCCCAGAAAGCAGTCCCCAGACTGCTCTGGGACTGCTATCTGTCAGGTTGGGTTTGGTTGGTTGGTACTGTAAGAATTGAATTTAGGATTTCACTTAATTAATTAACTTACAAGAAACTTCTTTCCTAGCAATACATTTTATAATCCTGCTATAAAAGAACTTTTCTATGGTTTAAAGAAGACCTCTGTTGATTTTGAGGTCCAAGGTGAAGGTCAGAATATCATATACATGTATTAGCATAAAATGATTTTCAGGTGATAACTTTAGTTATGTTTCGGCTTTTCCAATGAACTTAAGGTTGAAGACTGTAACTTAAGAAAGATCTTATTTATCAAAGGCTTAAAGGTGAAAGGACAAAATCACAAATTTGTATATGGTAGGAAATTGTACACTGTATGTAGATTTTGGATGAGATATCTTTAAAAACTCTTTAGCTTTTCAAATTTTAAGTCTTATATCTTACTATTACTTATGAAAAGAAGAATCCTAATGATTTTGAGGTCTAAAGGTCAGGGTTTGGTATGTTGCATACATGATTTGAAGATGATAACTTAGGTTCCCTTCAAGCTTTTGCAATGGACTCCCAAGAAAGACCCCTATTGATTTTGAGACCAAAATATGAAAGGTCAAGGTCATAAATTCGTAATTGGTATGAAATGGGTTCCAAGATTTACTTAATACTTTCTATTACTAAAACATAATTCCTATTGGTTTTGAGGTGAAAAAGTCACATATTTATGTACTGTTACAAATTGTTTCCAGACAATATCTCAAATAAACTTCTGTCTTAAATGAGGGACATAAATCTGAATATTACTTTTGGGTGCATAAAAAAATTCTATTAACATACACATTTTGTTTTTAGCTCACCTGAGCTGAGAGCTCAAGCAAGGTTTTTTTATCATAATTTGTCCAGCATCCATCTTTCTGTTTGTTCATCTGTCCATCTTTATATATTTCTCATACCTTCAACTTCTCAAGAACCATTAGGCCAATTTCAACCTAACTTGCATCCTTGGGTGAAAGGATTTCAACTTTCTACAAATGAAAGGACTAAGCCCTTTTTAAGGAGAGATAATTAAGAATTAATGAAAATTTGATATCATCTTTCAAAATATCTTATAAACCACCATGGGAGAAAAGGTGAAATTATGTTAAAGCTTCTTTACATAGTGTATATTCAAGTTCATTCAAATCATGTTCCCCAGGGTTAGGTTGGGGCTACTACAGGAGTGCCAAGTTTTACGTAGGAAAAAAATCATTAAAAATCTTCTTCTCAACAACAGCACAAGCCATGATTGGTAATATTAATATGGAAGCATTTTCAGCTAGTGTAGATTCAAATTTATTCAAAGCATGACTCCCAGGGGTAGGGTGGGGCTAACATTGGATAGGCAAGCAAAGATTTACAAAGGTTATATATATATATATATATATATATATATATATATATATATATATATATATATATATATATATATATATATATATATCTCCAATGAAAAAATCAAGAATCACAAGACTCGAATAATCATTTTAACTGTAAGCGCTTTCTGCCTTTTAATGGCTCTTCAGACAGTTACAAAATGAATATGAAATTGCTTAGTAACGTTCATAAGCACGACGTCAATTATTGTCCTTTGTGACGTGATAATAACGTTAAAAGGTAGCATCATAATTCGCACAGTTACAATCACTTGTAATTCAAAAACAAATAGAAAATTAAATAGAAAATTAACTCTGAAGCAATTATTTTCTGTTAAGTTTTGGGTTAAATAATTTAATAAAGTAGTCCTCCTTTGCTACTCTGGATATTTCACAGTCATTGTGCATTTTATAAAATGGAAATATTTTAAAATTGCCTTTCCCACAGATAGCAAAGTGCTCACTGCATGGCATATTTCTTATGTCAGGGTCCCGAATTTGTTGTTTATGGACTCGCACACGTGCGTTCAGTTTGCTGGTTTGTCCTATGTAGTATTCATCACAGGTTGGACAGGTTATGCAATAAATAACATTTTCTGACTTGCAGGTCATGTTGGCGTATGGTGTTAATTTTTAACAACATTTTAGAGTTTTTTCACTGCCCTCCTCCAGATATTCACATGTTCCACAGCGTGGGTCACGGCACTTTTTGACGACTTTGGCATTGTCCGATGCAAATCTTGCTCTGGTTAGGATTTTCTTTAGATTGGGTGCCTGTCTCCTGCTATTAATTATTTGTGATTCCTTGATAACGTCTTTTAAATTTTGAGACTGTTCTAAAATGGGAAAAAATCTCCTGGCTGTTTTCAAAATATTGTGGTTGCGTGGATTGTGCGTTACAACAAAAGGGATGTCGCTTTTTTCACTATCATCCTTGTGGCGATTGTTCCTTAGCATAGACGTAGGGATGCTTTTTGCCTTTTCAATTCCGGCATTTATAAGATTCTCTGGATAATGTTGTTTTTTGAGATATGATTTAAATTCTTCTAACCTTTTTGACCGTAAAGATGTATCGGTTACTATTGTGCTATGCGTCTTGCCATGTTGTATGGAATATTACGTTTAGTATGCGATGGGTGACATGAATGAAAATCCAAATACTGGTGCGAATCTGTTTCTTTGCAGTACAGGTCTGTAATTATTTTGGTATCATCCTTAATTAGAAGGAGGTCCAAAAATGGTAGTTGACTGTCACTCATCTCCATAGTGAACTGAATTGATTCCTTTAAATGGTTAATTACCGTGTGGAATTTTTGTAAATCATCTTCAGTTTTGTTCCAAAAAATTCATTTTCAACTTCTCAAGAACCATTAGGCCAATTTCAACCTAACTTGCATCCTTGGGTGAAAGTTTTTCAACTTTCTACAAATGAAAGGACTAAGCCCTTTTTAAGGAGAGATAATTAAGAATTATTGAAAATTTGATATCATCTTTTAAAATATCTTATAAACCACCATGGGAGAAAAGGTGAAATTATGTTAAAGCTTCTTTACATAGTGTATATTCAAGTTCATTCAAATCATGTTCCCCAGGGTTAGGTTCATTAAATTCATTTTTTGGAACAAAATTATTATATATAAAAAATTATATATTTGAAGGAAAGTGCTGATATTTTGCATTTTATTGATATGTGAAACTGGATGCTGTTGCATGTCTGGTGAAATAGTGAAAATAGACTTAATTTTCATGAAATTTTGAGACTATCCCAGTGTCATCATTTGGGCTCAATATATAAGTTGTACATGTTCCTGAAATCTTGAATCTCTTTAGGGATTAGAACATGCTATTGTTACTTATAGAGTGAATTTAAAATTTTCCAATACACATTTTACAGTATGCTCAATTTTAAGGAAAATTTCCGCCAAACATTTTGATTGCAGAAAAACTGTCCTCTGCCAGCAAAATAATTACTCAACTTTTTTTCTGATAGTTTTATCTATCTGTTGTTCTTATAAACTTTAAAGCTCACTTGAGCCAGAAGCTTAAATTAGGGAATGTTTATGTCTTATTTTGTTGCATTTGGTTATATGAAATACGCCATGAAGGGTTTTTGCATCATTCTATTATGATGTCACAATCAAATGCCTTAGCTTTTATTTATACTTGTTTAACTGCTTCAAACATCAGTCCATAGCCAATCAAAATGTGTTTTACAAAACAATTGCATTAGTATGAGCTTTTCTGATCAAAGTGTATCTTTCTGTTTATCTTCTCTGTTCTTCTTTACTATTTACATTTTCAGCTTCTCTTACAGATTAACTGGGCCAATTTCTTTAGTTCTATTTAATAGTTTGCAAGCATTCTATGATGGTGCAGATTTAAGCTTCTTTTCAAATCATATTTTACACCTCGATAGGATTTTGACAGGTTTTTCTTTCAGGTGAAGCACGGCTATCATACGGACATACCGTAGTATTACCAAGAGCAAGGACCTATATACTAACTTTTAGTAAATGTATAATATAAGTCCCTGCTTAGAGACATAGCATATTTCTTGCTATTTACCGCTATATTTAAAACCATAGTAAATTATTGTTGAAATGTAAACTTAATTGTTGAAAATGTTATATTTATAATCTGTTGATTGTTAAATTAGGCCATTCCAAGTTTTTTCTCTGTTTAGCGTCCACCCATCTTTCAAAAACTTATCTACCTATTCGCAAAAAAACACACAAGCCAAAAAATAAAACACAGACTTTACAGTAATAAAGATGACATCATTCAAAGTATTTTCTTTCATGAATCTATTTTTCTCATACCGTTCATGGTAGCTCAGTCGGTAGAGCGCTCGCTCCGTGATCAGGAGGTAGTGAGTTCGAATCTCAGCCGCAACTGACCTAAGTCGATAAAAAATGGGTAGCAACTGTTCCTTCGCCATGCGCTCGGGACTTTGAAATGAAAGTTACGGGTCCTTCGGATGAGACCTTAAAACCGAGGTCCCGTGTCACGGCAGGCGTTGGCACGGTAAAGATCCCTCACTGCTCAATGGACCTGAGTGCCGAGTAAAGGTCAAAATTTGAAGCCCTTCACCGGTATATGGTGACGTCTCTATATGAATGAAAAATTCTCGAATGGGACATAAAACAACATACAATCAATCAATCAATATTTTTCTCATAGAAATATCTTCTGTTTGGTAAAATGATTGATTGTATATTGTTTTACGTCCCATTCGAGAATTTTTCACTCATATAGAGACGTCACCATATACCGGTGAAGGGCTTCAAATTTTGACCTTTACTCAGCACTCAGGGCCATTGAGCAGTGAGGGATCTTTATCGTGCCAACGCCTGCCGTGACATGGGGCCTCGGTTTTTAAGGTCTCATCCGAAGGACCCGCAACTTTCACTTCAAAGTGCCGAGCGCATGGCGAAGGAACAGTTGCTACCTATTTTTTATCGACTTAGGTCTGTCGCGGCCGAGATTCGAACTCACGACCTCCCGATCACGGATTCTGTTTGGTAAAATTAAGGTATTAAATGCTTAAAATATACATAATATGACATACTAGTGAGAAATATTTAAAGAACTTGACAAATTTTCAAAATTTTGACCAAAATAATCAATTTTAGGACACCTGATTTTGTTTGTTTTTTCTGATATGGGATGCCAAAAACCAAGGCGCACGTGGACGCTAAACATAGAAAAAACTTGGAATGGCCTTATATTGAAAAGCCAGTTAAAATTAATTTGAGCTGCATATTCATTGTCTCCATTTACGCCGCCATTAACGATGTTACATGTTTTCATGAAATCATATTTGACATAGCAAAAATTTTAAAATTTTCATTAATGAGGGCTCTGCAAGGATTTGCTGGTGCCCTTTAGTAGTCATTGTCTTTCTGTCACTGGCAAATGACTACTAAAGAGCACCAGCAAATCCCTGCAGAGCCCTAATTAATAAAATTTTAATTTTTGCTATGTCAAATATGATTTCTTTCATTTGAAAGGTTTTAAACTTTTAATAGCAGCAAAGAATCCCCTGAGAGTAATTACGGTATTTTGCCTTTTTAGAAGATCCAGAGCCTAATCTTTATCTGTCACATTGATTGATTAACACCTCTGTCTGCATGTGATATGGTTTGAACTTAAGGTCTAGCCTGGGTGACGAAGGCTTGCATACTTTATGTTAGTTCAAACAACAATTAATTTAACTCTAACTAAAAAGAATTGTAACCCCCCCAAAAAAAATCAGTTAAAGAGATGAATTTTTTTTATTACTACAAGATGTGAATGCAAGAAATACTACTTCTTTTTTTTTTTTTTTTACAAATAGGTGGAAAATACATGTGTTAATTCATTCTGTCATTTAAGAAATATATTCTTATATACTTACATTACATGTCTCACATTTTTCTTTGTATATTTTGATTTTCCTTTTTAATATTTTTCAAATTATCATGTTCTCATCCCTTTAATTTAAACCTTAGATGCATATCTATCAGCAGGGCCCAAATGCTATCTGGTCAGTTTAATTAAAACTAAATTAAAAATTTAAATATGTAAAGTATATGTAGGCCTCTTTGAACACCCATAGATTACATGTAAGTTTTCTGCTTTAATGGCATTTTAACATGATTGTAGATTGTTTTTTGTGGGAGCCCAGAATAAACAGTTTCCTACATTTATGTCGATGATTGATGTGAAAAGGATGACACCATCACCCTCTCTCTTTGTCATTGTAAGTATATCTGCTTTCATTCATACTCTTAAATTAAAAAAACTTGTTTTCTTGAAAACTTTTCATTAACTTGATAACAAATTTTATAAAATAAACAGCTTCATTAAAACACGCTTATTATGAATTGATGCTTACAGCAAAATTATTTTCATTCCCTGTTGCTTTAAGATATATTTTGAATTTAATGGCTATAACAAGTTACGTTTATAACGAATCAAAATCGTCCATCCCTGGCACTTTGTTATAAGCGTGTTTTACTGTACATCCTTGATTAAGGATGAAGCTGTTTAAATATCTGTATGATGTGACAATGTAATGTATAAATTCTAAGTATATGCCTCTATGAGATACCTCAACTTCAACTGTCATGACTCGCTATTGCAGAACTGAAATATTTTATTGTGGATTCTTTTTTATTATACATCAATTTCTGAAATTGTGTTGTAAAACCTTTGACCTTTTAGGTTTGGATTTTACTTCCCAACACAAGCAGTGATTTTTCTACATTTTTTAAAAGGGGCCTGGGCCTTTAAATACAATTGGGAAAAATCATTGACATTGATGTCAAATTGGGAAAAATCAATAAGATTGTAAATTTAACCTTACATCCTTTATTCAATTTATTTGCTACAAAATAACAAATTAGACACAGTTCTAAATTTTTAACTTTTTTAATCTTTGAAAGTTGTCATTAATTGTGACCAACTTATATTTCATTTTTTTTTGTTTTGCTGTAAAAGGTAGACATAAGAGAAAATCCTTTTCGTAATTGCCATTGAAGAATAGAATAATCTGACATGATTTATGACAAATCGTTTATTTTTCAAACTAATTATTAAAGCTTTCTAATTACCCTAGCTAATCATATTGCTGCAATTTCTCTGCAATACTAGAAGTATCTGCAGGGTGTAGAAACAGTTTGATTTTCGTGGAATCAGGGATGCTACTAGTACTTGGATTTACAAATAAAGCTATGTTTCGCCAGTTCACCTGCATCTTACACTTTCTTATGATGTATTTACACACAAGTTTGACATAACCCATGTGTTTTTCTAGGTCTTGTAAACGCACTAAGTAATCTGCTGTTCCTTACTATTATTTTAAGAGTCTGAATGACTGAGAACAATAACGTTCCATTTTAGATAAGTCGTACTTAAAAAGTTCAATATAACAAAAACAACAACGATTTTGTTTTGGGAAAAAAGCAACAGAAATTGGGAAAAAATCTGTAATTTTTGAGAGGGGAAAGGACCGATATTCGGACCTAAATTGGGTGTAGAAAAATCACTGACAAGTTTTTGAAGTTTTGTAATGAAATATTAACTTCAGTTTGAGGATTTTTATTAAGGTCACCATGCAGAGTCAATAAAACTGTACTTTGAGTGCACACACTCTGCTCTGGAATAAAGAAATTGACATACTTTGATATTTTTATTACATACTCTGTGGGAGAAAAAAGCTGATGTATTTAATCATCATGTTTTTCATAAATTCAGCAATGTGATTAAAATCATGCAGATCTTTGATTTGCTTCAGAATTCTGATAGTCACAACAGAAGTCCTGAGTGAATCAAAGATCTGAATTTATTCAGCAGACAGGAAAAGATTCAACATTTTAGCATTGAGAAATTGAACATTACTGGTAAATATTAGAATAAACAATCTTATTAAATGATAAAAAAAAAAAATTATGCAAAATGTACCATTCATGAAGAAAGAATTTCATTAGGTGTATTTCAGATTGGCAATACATATGGGTACAATCATGTAAAGGAACTATACTAACCAGGCTCTCAAGAGTTCATGGAACATCTACCCATAAAGAAAAAATGTAATAACTACTTAGAATATTATAACTCTGTATACTATGTTAGAGACAAGGGCTCAACATTAAAAAAAAAAAAAAACCTTTGAACAAGGTACTTTCAGTTTTCATTGTCTTAATAGTCCAACAAATTTTGTCAATACTTTTTTTTGTTGAAACATTCTACAGTGAATTCTTGATAATCCGGCATTTTTTATTACATCTTGCCTATATAAGTTTGGCAATGAATTGAATTCGCATTTTGGCCAGATGGTCAGATACCTATCTTTTGTGCCAGAGACTTGTGATTGTTTTTAGCTCTCCTGAGCTGAAAATTCATTCAGTGAGCTTTTCTGATCACCTGTTTTTGCAACTCTACTTTCGCTTTCGGCCGTTGCAGGAAATGAAAATCTTGATTAAAGAAATACAACTACTTTTATATCTGAATTATCTAATGACATCATTTGCTGTATTTGGCAACTAAATAAACAATGACAGTTACTAGGGCCCCACTCTGCGGGCACCCTATTGTGATCAGTCCGTCCATCCATCCGTCCTTCAGTCTGTCTGTCCATCCGAGATCTCTTGTCCAGAGCATATCTTCTCTCTCCTTGGCCCAATCTGGCTCGTACTTCACCCACAGAGTGTTTTGGGTAAAGGGTGTGCAGTGACCTTGAACCATGTTTCTAAGTCTAAGGTTAAGGTCATAGCAGAATTATATGAAAAATCCTTGTCCAGAGCATATCTTCTCTCCACTTGGTCCAATGTGGCTCATACTTCACTCAGAGAGTACCACTGGTCAATGGATGTGCAGTGACTTTGAACAAAATTTCTAGGTCAAGGGTCAAGGTCAAAAATAGCCTCTCTGTTTAAATTCTTGTCCGGAGCATATTTTCTCTCTCCTTAGCCCAATCTGTCTCATACTTCACCCACAGAGTGCCCTTTGGGTAAAGGGTGTGCAGTGACCTTGAACCATGTTTCTAGGTCTAAGGTTAAGGTCATAACAGAATTATATATAACAGTCCTACCAGTGAACAATGTTGTACTGCTTCTTGTTGTGGTCAGGTTAATGGACACTGAATAATAGCCGCTCTGTTTAAATTCTTGTCCGGAGCATATTTTCTCTCTCCTTAGCCCAATCTGTCTCATACTTCACCCACAGAGTGCCTTTGGGTAAAGGGTGTGCAGTGACCTTGAACCATGTTGAATCAATAATCCTTGTCAGGAGCATATCTTCTCTCCACTTGGTCCAATGTGGCTCATACTTCACTCACAGAGTGCCACTGGTCAATGGATGTGCATTGACCTTGAGTGAAGTTTCTAGGTCAAGGGTCAAGGTCAAAAATAACCTCTCTGTTTAAAATCTTTGTTCAGTGCATAATTTCTTTCCCTTAAGTCCAGTCAGCCTCAAACTTTACCAATTGACTTAAGGTACAGAACATTTGTGATTTTCCTTCCATAATTTGATAGAGGATATGCAACAATTTTCATAGAGAATATGCAACATTCATGATTTTTGTGTCGTTTTTTGATACAGGGTATGGAGCACTCATGATTTACTTGTAACAAGGATGACATAGAAGCCCTTTAGACTCAAACAACACATCCCTTAATAGTACACAAATGTTCCTCTTCAAAATAAACCCTTTTTAGCTACCTTACATTTTCATGTTCGTTGCTAAAAGCAGGGCCCTTTGAAATGGCCGCCTTCTCAATGATATCTAGTTATAATTGCTTCCAGGCTTTACCAACAAAGATCTCTCTTCAAAAGGCTAAGCAACCACCACACCAAAGGGGTAGGCCTGATGCTATCCCTGGAGGCACAACGTGCTCTTATCGGATGGGAACCTGTCAACTCCCGAATAATAACAGCCAAGTTTAACTCCAAGAAAAGCAAGATCAAATTGAACATCATACAGTGTTATGCCCCAACAAATGACACTGATGGCGAAAAGAAAGACTCCTTTTACCGGCAACTACAGGCAGTCTTGGATAAAACAGGGAAGAAAGACATGACAGTACTTATGGGCGACTTCAATGCTAAGATTGGAGCTGACAACACTGGCTACAGTGAATTCATGGGCACACAAGGATTGGGCTACATGAATGAGAACGGTGAGAGATTTGCAGACCTATGCTCCCTTAACCAGCTCGTAATAGGAGGCAGCATCTTTCCTCATAAACAGATTCACAAGGCCACATGGAGATCCCCGGACCATGTTACGGAGAACCAGATTGATCATAATTGCATCAACAAGAAATTTCGAAGAGCATGGAAAGATGTCAGGGTGATGAGAGGAGTAGACATTTCATCAGACAACCGTCTGCTGATGACAGCATTAAGACTGCGCCTCAAGAAGTTCAACAACATGACAAACATGAGGACAAGGTACAACGTGAGTGTCCTCAAAACAAAGGAAGTGAAGACAGCATTCCACCTCAGCTTGTCAAACAGATTCCAGCTACTACAAGACCAACCAGAAAACAATGATACCAACATTGAGACCCAATCGCCTCACATCAAGGAAATGTGGCAAGACACATGTGAGGAAGTCCTTGGCAGAAGAAAGGCTCAACACAAGGAGTGGATCTCTGTTGATACCATGAGGAAACTGGATATGAGGATGGAAAGGAAAGCGACGCTGAACATAAGCTGGACAAGAACAGCAAAGGCAAAAGCTCAGGAGGACTACACAGCCGCAGATAAAGAAGTTAAGAAAAGCATTAGGAAAGATAAACGTGATCACATTGACAACCTGGCCAAACAAGCTGAAGAAGAAGCGGGACAAGGAAACTTGAGAGAACTGTATAAGGTCACAAAGAAGCTCTCCAACAAGTTCCAGCAGACAGACAAGCCAGTGAATGACAAGAACGGGAAGCCTCTCACAACAGCAGAAGAACAATTGAAGAGGTGGATAGAACACTTTGGAGAGCTATTAAATAGACCAACACCAGAAACACCTCTGAACATACAACCAGCCGAAACAGACCTCCCGATCAACTGCGACAAGCCAACAAAGACAGAGATCACGAGAGCAATTAACAAACTTAAGAATGGAAAAGTGGCAGGGCCTGATGAGACACCAGCAGAAGCCATAAAGGCTGACACAGAGACGGCCGTTAACATCCTATATAACCTCTTCAAGAAGATCTGGGAGGAAGAGAACATTCCAGAAGAATGGAAAGAAGGCATCCT